CACTATGCGGCGGTTAGTTATTTATATAAACCAGAGCACAAACCGATCCGAAATTATTAGGTACTTTAAAATGGCAAATTTTATAAAATTTGAATTTGGTGGAAAACTGACAGTGACAGGACCCGCGTTTTCATATGTCAAATAATGTCGGCCAAAATGTACCTTCACGGGAACCTATCCACGCGAGTGGCCTCTATCTGTGGCAACTTCCGTCTACAAAAAATCTGACCCCCTCTACCATTATATTCCCTCCATTAGTTTTCTAACTCAATGGATGCACTTCATTTATTTATTTTAAAGTGGGTGGGATTTCAGCCAAGGCTGCTTTACCAACCCAACACTCGATACATTTACATTTCAATGCCTAAACGTGGATTTGAACTTGAGGTTCAATTCTACTGTGCCACACTTTACCTTCAAAAGACCAGTCAGTTTTCCCCTGCTTCTCACAGTACAATTAAATATCTATAAGTTTTAAGTCGCCGATAATAATTGTACTACTAGTGATATTACACCCGATTATATTGTCAATATTCCCCTTTTATATTAAATGTTGTCTACGCATTCATAATATACTGCCTCTCCCTCACTGGCAACGCTTTATCAACATTTCAGCAAGCTTGGTACGAGAAGCTCGACTCACCGTCTCTCGGAAAATTAATATCTACCACGTGTACGGACAAAGATCAAGCATGCTTACTTGCTTTACAAGAAAAAGAAACTGGTGCATGGTTACAAGCTCTCCCTTCTACCAGATTTCAAAACCTAAATAAAATAAATACCTACTTTCCAAGGTCGTTGTCACGTCGTACGCAACCTTCATCTTGACATACTTTCCAAGGTTACCGCAAGGTGACAAACGACCTTGAACTGGTCCAGGTTCGGCATTTTATACCTAGTAACTACCAAAGCTTCCTTGTTTCATTTTCTCTTTGAGAGTAAATAACAAAATCAACTTGAGATTAGCGTACGGTAAGCTCAGGCAAAGTAGAGATGGGTCGGGGTGAATATCGAGGCTCTTATACACTAGCAGCAAAAGGGAAAAATAGTAAAAGTAAACCGGATAGCCTTTAGACAAATTTCAAAAGATAGACGAATGATTGACGTCCCAGTCGAGGGTGATATAATGTATGATCTCAAAATATTACAAATGAGACACTAGTATATATGTTACGGTAAGGGTACATAATGTGGTAATTGTATACAATTACCGGTAATTGTATACATTTACCGGAGTCTTTGGTAAAAGTAGAAAATAATCTTAAAAAACTGCAAGCGCAGTGCGTTTGTTTACCACGTGCATGTGTGATCCTATTATTAGTCTGCAGTGTTGATTCTTCGAAAGTGTTTGTATCTGTTCTGCCATACAAAATTTGCCTCTTGTTATTGATTCAGGCAAAAAAAAACTCTTGTTTTTAGGTTAAAAAAAAATAATAAAAATTACACTTCTTAAAAAAACTATTTGAATTTATTGTTTTTATTTCTTCTTTTGATATCATTTTCTTACTTTTACCGCTGGTCCTTGGTCATTGTATACAATTACCGGTAAAAGCAGATAATTGGGAATAATTTCGTACATTTACCAGTGACTTTGGTGATTGTATACAATCACCAATTATGTACTTTTACCGTAACATATAGATCTGCAATGTGAATATTTAAATTTGAATTAATTTTTAGTAAAAAAGGGGATCAACACGTAGTCATTAATATCAAAACAGGCTTTCGCATAAAACAAGGGAGATATAATTGTTAAATGACTATCAATCAAAGTTAGTAAATACAATTCGATTGTATCGAATACCAGTATGTAATCAAATGTTAACATGAAGGAGTCGTCGAAAAAAAACCTTTGAACTCTGGTCGTAACGGCCGTCTGAATTCAGAAGGGCGCGTTCTGCCTTTCTGTAACAGATAACAGCACAGACAAATAAACAAGAGAGGTAGCGAATAGCGCGGCACATAGAATATTGTGAAAGCAATTCTATAGCGTCTGACACTCGGCAATCGGATACTAAACCGTAATTAATACTCAATAAGAATAAATAATGCAACTTTCGTTAATTAACCAAAAGCACATTTTGCCTCGCCCACGGATACAACTCGTGGGCAAGACAAAATGTGGGAAGGGATAAAATTAGAAGTACAATGGGAAACATCTGCACGATCTCCATCGGCAAAACAAAGAACCATTATAATAAGAAATGTATAACACTGGGATGTTCTCTAACGGCAAAACAAACAACTAGCCAAAATAACTCTACTACAAGAATAATTTACATTTAAACTAGTGCATTACAGAAGAAATACCTAGATGGCGTAAGAATATCAAATATACACGAGAGTAAGAATCAAAAAGTTACTTAAATGGAATTTAAATCAGGAACTTCCATTCTTCTAGTACAAGGTGCGGCCCTCCTTTTTTAAATGCGCGCCATTCGGTTTAATTTAGCACCGTTGGCGTCCTGGACCCGAAATCAAATCTTCTGTGGGTAGTACGAAAAGACGAAGAACAGGAGTCAGTGAGAGCTTCACCACGGCGTTCGGCGTACAAACATGCGGCTTGGACTGTTTCTTAGCCATGGAACCCATTTTGATTTGTGTGGTGTCATCAACAAACAAAACATCCGCTACTGGCCTGATACCAATCCTCAGAATTGTACCAAAAACCGTGGCATTCCCCATGATTATTATTATTATTATTATTTATTTCCATGCTTCATTACAGGAATTTCCCAATTGCAACGAAGCAGTTCACTTGTAAATATATACATTCACAAAACAGATAGACAGAAATAAAGAGAACTAAACCTAACTTATAACATCGATACTAATAATTGTAATGGAAATAATAATGCAGGTGATGGAACTTAAAAAATTGATGAATGACATTATTTAACGTAACTTATTTAACAATTTATAATTTAAACTTAAAAAAATTAAAAAAATCATAAAAGAAAAACTATTAAAAAAAACTATAATAATGGGCAATGAATTCATAAAAACTACACAGTATCAATACAGACTTTGAGAAAAGAAGATTGAGAAGCAAGAAATATGTCGATATGCAACGAAACATTGTTATAGAGGCGTAACATGGCAATTAATGGCGAATGAAATTGACTACGATTGAAATAAGTTTGTACTAAAAAATTAACTTGACTCAGTAAATTGATGTCATTAACGGAACCATGAATTAACTTGAAGAGGAAAGTTAATTGAATGATTTTTCGTCTCCATCAGGAACTAAAAATTAAACTGTTATCCAGCATTTGGGAGATTGTGTTAATCAAAGATCTTACAGGCACATCTTTTTCCTTGAACGAAGATCTCGATGACTAACAATAAAAAATTGATGCTTCATAATGCGCAATTTTTACCCATAATATCTAATTTCTTTGGGAAAAAGGTTAAAAGTATGGGTTCGCTGAGTACAAGTATAATACGATGTAAGTCAGCATTTGAGGCAGTTGGGTGCCAAAATCTTCATGGATACATCAATTTCGTTCAGTAAAAGGATCAAACACAGAATTTGGGGATAATGGTGGACAGAATAGGTACATCAATTTTCTTGGTATAAAAGTAAATCGTACGAGTTCGATTACCAGCAGCTAAAAATTGATATTTTACATGTTGATGGGCAATTGTGGGCATTAGTTATCAATCCCTATAAATACCAACAGAAATTTCCTTGCGAAAAGCGCCAAAGATAGCCTTGGGATACTGAAACAATTAAATTTCCATTTTAAGTTACCTTTCCAGATTTATTTGATGATATAAGAAGTGATTTTAAATACGGACACAGAGAAGTTTCCACAAGCAATGGAATCCAGGGCATGCTCGGCGAAGTTCGTTAAAAAAGTAACCTTGTAGTGATTAATACTCAAAGCTTGAAATGAAAACAGGACGGTAAACTTTGAAACCTATCCTAGAAATGACCACTTATTTAAAAGGGTTCTTATGCAAATAACATAAATTGAAAAAGTTTTAACGAAACATTAACAAAAGTGCTTACAAAGGCAACCCAACTCTCTCAGAACAATGTGTGACAATTTACTACATCACCGGTACGGGACTACAGGTACGTATATACAAACGTGTCCAAAATAACCATGAAACGAAGTGAATATAGTTAAAATACCATAAATCCGTACAAAATGTAAAATAAAAACCGGATCTCGCTTATAAAATTCAAACGATCTACCTTTACACGTTTCACAATAACCCTTCTAAACCGCCACCGGGTTTCCAGAGCGTATCCAGCATCGCCTTTTCTTACTGTTCCCAGGTTTTCGGTTTTCTGTCGTGCTCATTTTCGATTGCTCCGTTTGAGATAACAATTTTCCATTTCATTCTCTCTAACAGTCACCTGTGAAATTTGCACGAGTTTTGATGTTTGACGCCCTAAATAGGTGCATTATGCACTTTCCAAAGATTAAATGAGTTTATGAACGCAAACTAATTCCAGAAGGGAGTTTGCATATGTTCTCAATAGCCTACAGTAAAATGATTAATTAGAAAAGAGGAAAAATATCCATTCGTTGATGTTTAATTTGATAAACGTCACTTTGAGTACTGTCAAATAAACTTTATTGTATATCCCAAATAAACATATCGTTCTAATTACAAAGTTGTTCTTCCAAATTATGCGAAATTTGAGGTTAACTTTGTTGGAATTTCGTTCCATGACAAGCCTTCCAAGTTTTTAAATAAATAATTTCACTAAATGTTTTATGATCGGCTTGAGTTTTAATCGCGGGAGCGTGCCTCGTAATAGAAAAACAACATTTAAGATAATTGCCAATTAAAATAAATCTATATCTTTTAGCGACACCCATATTTTCATCCAAGCAATTAAGTCCTAATTAAAGGCCAAACAGAATTTCCTTCGCAACGAAACACCTAATTTAATTGTACAATAAAGAGATCGTTTGATATGTATTTCTAAAAAGGTTCTGCTGAAAATTTAAAATTGATTGTTTTCCTTACTTACGTTTTAGGGCCACCTAATTCAATATAACAATACGGCAGGACTTCAACCGATGGATAACATCTTAAGAATGGCGAAAGTAACAAAATCGTCTGATGGCCAATATTCCTGCTCAGCTGCAAATACCGAAGGAGAAACATATAGCTCTCCTTTTACTCTCACAGTACAATGTAAGTATTTCTACCGTCATTATGTCCTACATTTAGAACCGAAAAATTGAATTTATCGACAAGTAGACCACCTGCTGCCAACGTTGAATGTAAACGCATTCAAAAGAATTACGAAAATGTCACCAAGACTGTAAGCTTTGATTAATCTTTTTTATTTATCTCGATTTTATCAATTCCGTTCTATCAAAAAGTAATCAGCTATAATTGTTAGGTTTTTATTACTTATTTCCGAATACTCTTTCGTTGAGAAAGAAAATTATTTTCACTTCGAACGAAACTCATTTCAATCTCCTTTTCGATTATTTAAACCAAATTACCGATCTTATTTCGCCAACTTAATAAATATTCCAGCATTTGACGATTTAAATATTAATTTGAGAAAACTACACTGTGTGTCTTGCAACTCTCGAATATCACAAATTTGAATCTCATTCTGTGCTAACGCTTCGTATTCGCCAAGGCACTCCTGTCTCCGCTGTATGTGAATTCAAGTTTGATATTTAATAAAAAAATAATTCATTTGCCATATTTGAATATGTTTGGTATTCAATCAAATTTCACCGGCAATCAGTAACGGTGGCGGCAGCTGATTGCTCTACAGATGTCGCCGTTTCTTAGTTGACCACAAGGCAAAACATCGGTTTTTGTTAGACACTGGTTCCGACATTTCCTCGGAAATTGTTCGCCGAGCGTCGATGCCGAACCGTGTTAACTATGCGAAGCAATAAACGAATGAATTTGGTTTCAATCACAATCGGCCATGGAATTATTGCCATAAGAAATACATTGGCATTTTCAAAAACTTAAGTAATGATGACGCAACCGCAAAATGCCTGCCAGAACGGTACTTTCTTAATTGACTGATAATAAAACATCATTTAGAAATTTTCTAGCTTTGTGGAAAATGGGTTAGCCGGATGGTTCGCGAGCTCTCCCACTATTGGGATTTATCTGCCGAATATGTAACCCTCTAAAACACTACCAAGTTTCTTTGATTTACTGAAACTTGAATACTGACGATAATGTAATGTAAGAATAAGGCCGGATGTCCACCGCATCGGGCCGACGAAGATCGGTACGATTTGAATCGCGCACCTGCATTTCTACTGAAGCCTGTCAACAGACTCGACTATTGTCGGGACCGATCGAAATCACAACCGACTATTTTAGCCCGTTGTCGTCAGTCGTGACAGTTTTTTTTTTTTTCTGTTGACAGGCTTCAGTAGAAATGCAGGTGCGCGATTCAAATCGTACCGATCTTCGTCGGCCCGATGCGGTGGACATCCGGCCTTAGAATCTAATTCAGGCCGTAGCGATCTGAGTAAAATTCTTATTACGCTATAGCTACACGGATACACAAGAATATCTCGAATAAGCGAAACAAACATAATTTTCTAAAGTAGGTGCGGTAAATGTTATTTATCGTTCGACAATGAAAGAGAGGGGACCTGTAATAGAGCGCGCGCGCGTGAAGCAAATTGCGATCATGCTGCCACCATCAGTGGCGCCCGCTCGGGTTTTAAATTAGGAAATAACAATTTATTTATACTGCTATCATGATATGGCTTACTCGTGTGTACAATTGTCGGACATAAGATTAGGTTCTTATCTGAATAGAGATACAAAAAGACGCGATAAACGTAAACGTACCATTCGCGTTATAATACGCACTTTTTGTTCAGTTTTGATCGTTTCAGAAACTGGGTGCGCGATATAAGCGCAATATTATTGAAAGTATACTTACACAAGTCATTTGCCGAATCCGTTGTTGGACAAATGACTTTTAATATTGAATGAACGCATTGTGTATCTTCATCGGTGGTTTTCTATTATTGAATTGTTATTCCTGAGTTTCAAGACCAGATAAGTGCAACATTACATTCTTAATTGTTTACTAATATTTGTTACTGTATGTTTTTCCTATACATGGCCTGTGCGCAATAGTAAAACAAGTAAACTTACCCCGAATTTTCCGTACCCATTATTAATAAACCTTTTTTTTTTTTGTTAAAAACGCATAAAAACTAACTGCATTTTGTTATTACTAGAATTTATCTTTTGTTAGTTTTATAACAATTTTGTGTTTTTTTTTAATAAAATAAAGTGGATCGATCATATTGATATTGTAACGTGATTTATAATTTCGGGTTCGATTTATATCAATGTTTATTAAACAAAACTAAAACACTATAAAAACCGTACAATTTATATCGATTATTTATATCACACACTTCGCAATTTACATTTACGCGCTCGATGTTTCATACGTACTCGATCTCGTTCGGTAGTAGACTGCCGCGATGTTCGGTCCGCAACCATTTATACACGCAAGCAATGTAAGTCCAGCACATTCGCGTACAGTCTCGAATATTCCTACACAAATCCCACTATCGCGCGCGTAGAAAATTCCAAAGCGCCAAAGGCGACGTCATGTCTGGAGCGTTTTCGTTACACTATTAAAATTTCCATTTGCCTAAAATGGGCTTAGGCAAATATTTGCCTAGTCGAATAGCATTTAAAAACTCAAAAGAACCTTTCACCCAGGCAGATAGCATTTGCCCGGGAAAATGCCATTTGCCTGGAATCACTATTTGCCTACGACATATATATTAATACATACACCTTGAGTAAAATTCTGTATGTAAAGCACACCCCGTTTTTGAAGCGATCAAAACCGAAAAAGTACACATTATACGCGGGTATAATGTACGGTATGTGTTCCGTATGCTCTAATAACACTTTGCAACACATTTCGCACTTAATTAATGCACACATCTATTTGGTGACGAACCCTGCAATGTATTTAATAATTTCTTCAGAAATTGTGCTCAATATTACAGAGTTCATGATGTAATCGTGTTCTAACAAATCATTATTGCAATATCTTCCACTTCTATTTCATTGTTCCAATTAATTGAAGCACTAATTATTTGTCCGTTGCTTCCTTGCGACGGACAAGTTAAAATAGGGATAGTATCCAGAGGGCAACTCCCTACCCCACTATCTCGCAACTCTGTTCTTATCAGCAAGCGGTTGTATGCACTTTGAAACTGCCTTGAGGTGGGGTTGTTGTTCCATCCACCCCTTGACCTTATGGAAGAGAAAAATAATTCCAGATGATCCTGGCTTATTTTATATAATTGAAGATATGTATTTTGTAGCTACACGTACCTACATAAGTTCAAATATCTTCAATGATCCTTTGGTGTGGAGATTTCTTGAAGCCAGGTGTCGTCAGGTTTCAACTGTTTAAAATATCAAAAATGTTGATTATTTTAATAAAATTTGCCGTTGGTATACAATTTTCAAAACCTTCTATATCTGACTTCTTACAGTACTCAAGAGCATCTGCCACCGAGTTGCTCATCTAATCGGTAATTTAAAAACAGAAGGGTTACGCACGCATTCAAAATTGACTCGAACAGCAGCGTCGTTAATTTTCACCGCTTATTTAAATGATTGACACCTCCACTCTAATTCCTTCGCCTCGTTACGTAATCGAATTGATGCCCATAATCAATGCAGATGTCGTTTAATCGGGACTGATGAATTGATTTGTCCGATAACAGCTTTTGCACAATACATTTGTCCACATAAGACTTCTCTCTTACGCGGTTTTAAAATAAATGTTACCTTATTTTTGCGTCCCTTGAATTTCATGCCCTGTAAGGGTTTTTCGGTGGGCACGCGGGTAGCTGCAGTCGTGCCCCAGGGTCTCTAAATAAAACTTATTTACACACCAGTTTCCTTTTATTTTTAGACACCGTGTATCTACACCACAGAATACAGAATTATTATTTAGTTGGTATCCCTGGTGTTGTCGATACGGTAGTATTCTGCTATGCCGTTGCCTCAGGTTGCGGGTTGCGGTAAAAGGGCAATGGCGGCGATCTCAGGTGTCGAGATGTCGGAGCTGATCGCCTCGGCTCAGCGGTACTCTAATTTGACCGGTAGCTGTAAGTTTATCGATTAGCGGGTTTTTATCCGGGAGTTGGTAAGCTATCGATAAATCGGGGTGCGAATGATTGGTGCCGCCGGGTTCTATTTCAGGTGAATGACACCAGCACTTCCGAATACTCGGCCCGTCAGTGCGGTATGGTACTTATGCTAGAGGTGGTACACAGGATGTGACACGGCCACTACCCCGTACACCACACTCTAGGTTGAAGCAGAATCAACGGTCGCAAACTGGAGGAGTGCAGGTCGAAGGTCCCACAGTTCCCAGTTCCCGTACTTTGACTCGCCTCGTATCTAAGGGACTGGTGATAGTATGGTAACGAAAATCAAGATGTGACACGGCCACTACCTCCGCTTAAGGTTCACAACCTTACGACTAAATCAAGCAAGCGGGAGTTGGTTACATGCGGGTCACAGGCCCCACAGGTATCGAACTTCCGGGTGTTTGAGGGTTCGTCTTTCACGGACTGGATGATTTCTAATGAATGGCGAGGTTAAAGGTGCAGGGACAGGTGGGTTAAGGATATAAGCGGAACGGAAACGGTATCGAATGCAAACGGGAAATCGGATGAATGATTATCAGTTTTAGGTCTGGATTCAGGTTTTCGGTCATCAAATGACAGGATAGAAGTGTCTTCTAAAATCAAGGGATCCTCCTTTTATACAGCCATGATTAGGACTACGACTAGGAAGTGGAAATGACACTTGATTAGGTTATCATTAATGATTAGTTAGCGACATCTATTGATGTCAATGTAGTGCATTTGTAAAGGAGCGTCTACACGCTCCATAAATAAAGGCACGGGTACATTGTTACCTTACAGCCCTCATTCAAATACAATAACAAACCCCAAATTACTTATACAAATTCATGGTTTACAATACATAAAGAAAAAAATAAACATTACAATGACCATGAAATAAAATCCTGAAATTCTGTGTCCATTTAGCAAAATGCCCTCTAAATAAAATAAATTACAACATTTTACAGGATGTCCTGTCTAAAACCTCCAATGTGAAACCCAAATTACCTTCATATCACG